GCTTACATTCGCCCATTGCGCGCAACGAGCAATCGCATTATATATATTAGCATATATTTATACATATATATCATACATATATATGTATAATATATGTATATATATAATATATGTATATAGAAATATTTCTATATATGTATAATAATGTCATATGTGTGGTATATATATACTTCTCTTAGTATATAAGTATATATAGAGTATACTCTCTGCTTATGTAAGTATATTATATGTATATAGTATAATATACAGTATACTTTCTGCTAATATACAGTATATATAAGAATACTCTCTCTTATATATGTATACGTCTCTTTTTAGTATAATATATTTTCTATACTATGTTAATATGTCATATGTGTTATGTATATATATTACTTGCTCTTAGTATATAAGTATATTCTCTCTTATATAAAGTATATATGATGTAAGTATATATAGTATACGGCTTTCTCTTATTCTACTCTATATATATATAATTATATATATTATATATATAATATATATATATTTATATATATATATATATATATATATATATATATTTTATATATATAGTATATATATATAAGAATACTCTCTTTTTATATATGTATAATGTATGTATGTTTTATATATATACTCTTCTCTCCTTGTATGATATGTATATATCAGTATGACTCTCTCTTATTATAAGTACATATTTAGTATACACCTCTCTTATATAGTGTATAATATATGTGTATATTATATATATACTAAATATACTCTCTCTGTTAGTATATATGTGTATATAGAGTATAACTGCGTGCTGCTTATATATGTATACTCTTCGGCCTATTATATAAGTATAACTCTTTTATATATGTGTGTGTGTGTGTATATACTCTGCTCTCTTAGTATATAAGTATAGGTATATTAGCAACGGTTACTTCGCCCATTGGCGGCCAACGAGCAACCGCTAGCAGGGTTACTTATGCGATTCTTGCTCTCTCATCTTAAATTGTTATACTTCTAAATATATACAATATATTTACATATAATATATGTATAGTATGAATATATAGTTACATAATATTTAGAAGTATATACTGAATACATAATTTATATAAAAAGTATAATAATATTAAACAATAATTTTTAGCATTTATATAAAAAAAGAAAGAAATTTAAAAAAAGCTAGGTGAGATGTACTTACTAATTGTGATGCGATGATTCCAAAATAAATTTATACAATTTTTTTGTTGTAATTTTAAATGAATTTTAAGGTTATTAATAAAGAATTTCTTTTTATAATTTTTTTTTTATAATTTATGTCATTTTAAGTGATTAATAAAATTATTGATTATTTTATTATTTTTTTGTCTTTTTTTTAATTTAAAAACTTAAATCAAAATTTAAAATTTTGAAAAAAAATTAAAGAAAAAAGAAAAACCCGGCCGGTGCGGAGCGCCGGGGCCGGGTCGGGCTCGGGTTTTTGCCCCCGCCCGGGCCGGATTTCCGGCCGGGCCGGGCCGAGGCATGTCCATCCGGCCCGGCCCGGCCCGGAAATCCGGGCCCGGGCCGGGCAAAACCGGAGCCCGACCCGGCCCGGGCCCGACCGGGCCGGGTTTTTTCTTTTTTTTTAATTTTTTTTTCAAAATTTTAAATTTGATTTAAGTTTTAAATTATAAAAAAAGACAAAAAATAATAAAATAATAATAATTTTATTAATCACTTAAAATGACATAAATTACAAATAAAAAATTATAAAATAAATTCTTTATTAATAATTAATAAATTATTTACAAATTATAAGTATAAATTTATTTTGGAATTCATCGCATCACAATAGATAAGTACATCCCAACTAGGTTTTTTCGGCCCGGATTTTTTTCAATTTTTTTCTTTTCTTTTTTTTTTTATATAGAAATGCTAAAAATTAGTTTAATATTATTATATTTTTATATAATTATGTATTAGTATATACTTCTAAATTATTATGTAACTATATATTATATATACATATATTATATGTAAATATATTGTATATATTTATAAGTTATAATTTAAGAGAGAGAGAGAATCGCATAAGTAACCCTGTAGCCGTTGCTCGTTGGGCCAATGGGGAAGTAACCGTTGTAATATACTATACTTATATATACTTATATACTAAGAGAGAAAGTATACACACACACATATATAAAAGAGTATACTTATATAATAGGGAGTATACATATATAAGAGAGAGTATACTTATATATACATATATACTAAGAGAGAGAGTATATTAGTATATATATATATATATATATATACACACATATATTATACATATATAAGAGAGTGTATACTAATATATACTTATATAAGAGAGAGTATACATATATAAGAGAGAGTATACTTATATATACATATATACTAAAAGAGAGAGTATATATATATATATATATATACACATATATTATACATATATAAGAGAGTGTATACTAATATGTACTTATATAAGAGAGAGTATACTTATATATACATATATACTAAGAGAGAGAGAGTATATATATACATACATACATACATTATACATATATAAAAGAGAGTATTCTTATATATATATATATATA